TGTATTTCATTATTTTAGCTATGGTCTTAAAATATAGGGCTAAAACCAAGTCATCCATAATATGTCCTACTTAGCATATGTACGAGGGGACTTATGTGAAAACCGCTGGACCTCATTTTGCTTTGTGATAGATTTAAGAAATGAATTACTTTTTGGTGTGGCTACAACCACTTAGGTGAAATTGCTTTAGTCCTCAAACTTAGGCAGCATGCCAAAAGATAGTTGCAACTACAGACTAGGTGTAAAGTTAAGAAGTATTTGAAAATCAAGTGCTTAGAGTTTGAATAGTATACTGGGCTTAAAGTTTGAAGAGGATACTTTTACTTTGGTTTGATGCACTTGAGCCGAGGGTTTTTCGGAGACAGCCTCTATACCTCCACGAGGTAGTGGTAAGGACTGCGTACATTCTACCCTCCCCTGACCCCACTTAGTGGGATTTCACTAGGTATGTTATTGTTGTACTGGGGAAAGTACGCTCCACAGCTACCACACTCCCATTTCCAGATTGCCAATAACTTGTCCTGTTCTTTGGATAAATTCATATTTGTTTTCTGACTATTATTTTTATTGACATCTCATAGGATCTGTGGGAAGCAATCTGTGAGTTGCTTTTGCATCCGCATCTGTGGTTGCGCAACATATCAAACCGTCTTGTGGCTTGCTACTTTGCCACTGTGACTGAGGCTTGGAAAGAAAACCTTGAACTGCCACAAGAAACTTACTTTTTGATGAGGCCAAGTAGACTTTTCTTCGTAGCTACTTCTCTTTGTTGTCAGCTGAAGGTGCTGCAGACTGATGATGCTGCCAGTGATCTCATTACTCAAAATCTTGTCTTTTCAATTTGCTCTCTGCATTCATTCTTAGGAAAAAATGAATGTAAAGATGAGTTCTGGTCCACCATTGAACATGACGAGCAGGGTCTTCTGCTTAAGGCTTTTCAACAGCTTGATTCAAGGAAAGGGAAAAACATCTATCTGTCTCTTGTGTCTGACCTTAGCGATCAAGAAGATGAAGGCCAGCGCTACTTGGTCATTTCTTATTTGCTTAAGACAATGGGAAAGATTTCCCTTCATGTGGAGGATATGCAGGTGGGTGATTAATTAAGGATATCTCTGTTTGCTCGACTCGCAAAAAATTTCTTAGCCTAGTCATTGCTATGTAATTTACCTTCTCGTTGTTTTCCAAAAAAAATATTTTGTGCCTTACTCTCCCATATATGGTGCTAGGAGTGCCTGTTCTCATGCTGTGGAATGTGCACAATTTTTTGCAGATGAGAATTATCTTCAATTGTTTCAAATCAGTTTCACCAAAGCTTATAGATCAGAGTAGATTGTTGTCCCCTGAAGGTGAGGTTGATTGCCAAAGCTTTGCATATCATATGCTGTTGCCCCTGTACAAAGTTTGTGAAGGATTTGCTGGAAAAGTTATATCAGGTATGGTCTCTCATTCAATCTCTTGCAAACTTGTTGTTTCAAGTGTCTGCCCATACTATCTTATATGCAAAGTGCTAGCTGCATTTACAAATGTTCTTCACTTCCTCTTTGGCTTCCGAGTGATTAACTTTGTAGTCCTTAATATATTTGATGATTACGTGTAACATCCGACAATTTAAAATGAATATGAAGAAGCTTGAATTTGGAAATAGTCATTTTTGGAAAAATTTAAAATCTGGAAATTTGGCAGTCCAGAATCTGGAAATTTGGAAAAATTCAAAATCTGGAAAATTTGGCTAAGTGTGGAAATCAGTGATTTTGGCCAACTTTGAGTCAGTCGTAACTCCTAGCTCAGGATGAGTTAGGAGTAGTTCCAGTTATGGTTGCGAAGCTTGTGGAATGATCTTTCCAACGCCATTGAGATTACTCGATTCCGAGTTCGTATGAGCGAGTTATGCCCTTTGAAAGTTGGGCAGTTGGCAGGGAATCCGTCCGGAAAATTTAAGGGCATTTTGGTCTTTTCACAAATCA